AGGCCTGGCGCAATATGGTTCATGGGGTCACGAAGAGTCGGACACGACTTAACGACTAAACAACAAAAAAATGGGTATTGTAAAAATAGGTCTATAGCTGCGTCAGATAACTCTAGGTAGATGCTAAAATAAGGGTAGCATACTTCAGCAGGAGTGCATAATGTGACTAAGAGAGAAGAGACAGCTGAACGTAAATTCTCAACACTGGTTACTTGTATGCCTCAGCCTTAATTGGCTTTCAGATTTCAGTATCCTTTTCAGCAGTTGTTCTTTTTCAGAACTCCTCGAGGTACATAGCCTGAGTTATTACAGCTGGAAGAGGGAACATGTTTTGCTGACCAAGATAGGAAAGTAAAACACAAGAGCTACTCTGTTTTGATGCTTTGCATATTTGTTTTGAAGATCACTGACTATCAAGCTAGCAAGAACTGGAAATCCTTTGCCAAGTTTGTGCTATTTCAGTTAAACCAAACATCCTCTTCAAATAAGTCCAAAACTCAGGGGAGAGTGTCTTAAAGTGTTTGAGACTATAGCCTATGCTATAAAGACTCTGGAAGATTGGATCATTCCCACAGCATTGGGAAACATGTTCCACTATGGTCCCAGTTATAAACATTTTGGCCATGTTGTGTCTAATGCACTGGAGTAGCTGATTCAAAACATTGCAGTGCTTGTTTCAGACATATAAACTTTATAACACACTATTAGTTGGTTGACAGCTATATAAACAGATCAGGGAAGGGGGTAGGTCAGCTTTTGCAGCAATCCTGTTGTTCATTCTCCTGGGACTTTATTTTGTAAGGTGCCAAGAAATTAAGAATTCCGGACCGGAGTCATCAGACAGAGCTTTCTCAGAACTATGAGAAAAGAATCTCATCTCTGGAGGTCAGCAAGGGCTTTTGCGGAGGAAATACCAAATGTTTCATTGAGAGACATTTGGTCTCCCAGCCCAGGGAATGAAGCAATTGCCTAGGTCACAGACTTTTTGGAAAATGTGTCCTCAGTAAACATAGCCAGCTTTGCTTTTCATTTGTACGTTTACTTGAAGAACTTTAAGGAAAATACTTGTGTATGATTAAAGACTGGGACATCAGACATTTTTATTTCTAAAGCTAGCGTGCTCTGCCATGGCTTTTGAAGTGAGAGATTTGTTTTTGTACTGTTGTGTGCAATCAGAATTGACTTGGCCCTATTAATTTCCAAACTAGATTGAGTGGTGGAGGATTTACTTTTATCAAAGTTTCGACATGACAAAATATTGTTCAAGCGATTTCCTCTAAAATAGAGATGGGAAACCTAAGGTCCTCCAGATGTTCTTAAACTATAATTCCTAGCAGCCCCAGGAAGCATGACTGATGTTGAGGGATGCTCCCACAAATCTGGAAGTTACTAGGTTAATAAACTCCAATGAAACACAGTAGGATGTGGACATGTGTTTTCCATTTGAATCAATATCATGGATAAAGTTAGAAAGAAACAGAACCTATAGGAAAAGTCTCATGGCCAATAATAATATTATCTGAAATTTCTGGGTGCTGTAATCCCAACATATTTAAAGAGAACCAGAGCAAAGAATACAGTTTTAATTGTTTATATCTTTCTGTGTTCTGGCTGAACATCTATAGCTTTATACCCAGGCTGTTTGACTTGAGATTGCACTGGAAGAGAAGAGATAAAGGCAGGCCTTAAGGACTTTGATGTCTCTCATATCACCATCTTTAGCTTCTGAAAAGCCTGTTTCCATCCAATTTAGGCTTCACTGAATCACAAGTAAGACCAACGTTGTGGTGTACAGAAAACGACTACAAAGTTTCTCCTATATTAGGAACTTCTTTTTATGCAAATTTAGAATATATGATGGTTTTGATCTTATCAATGCTTCTTTGAGTAGAGTTCATTTTATTACGCTTTCAGTGACTTATCGCTTGCTTTCTATTAGGCTCACGATGCTCCCTGACCATTGACAAGGCTTTTCCTGAGGATGAGGGCCAGTACAAATGCATAGCTGAGAATACTGCAGGGAAGTCAGAATGCACTTGCAGCGTCTTGGTGGAAGGTAAGTAAATTGACCTGAATCTGAGAACTGTACTTAAAAGTCCTTAGCTGGTACTAAGGACTTTCAGATTCTGTTTATGTCAAATTCTAATTCCCTCCTATCTGATTCCCATTTCTAAAACTATGTAAAAAAGCAGAGGTTCTTATTAGTTTCTTTCTCTTCCACATTCCTTCTGTAATAAATCAGCTGTTGAAGGGAACAGTGAACCAGCCAAACAGTGTGTCCACATTGTGCCTCAGTTAAAGACCTGCCGTGCTGCCAAAGTTTTGCCAAATCTGAATTGGCTTTAAAACCCTCTCAATATTATCAATATAACAATGGAATACAACTATCGAGACTGTTTCTGTGTCAAAGAAACAGCTACCTTGGGAGCATTTTAACCAAATGGTGAGCTACTGCAGGCAAGATAGGATTTAACTGTAACAAACTGATAGCACATAAGTGAAGTAAAGAACAAAAAGTGACATGTTTCTTGTTTTAGTGGTTGTTGCGCTGGAACTGTGACAGAAATTTATCAACCAAGATAGTAATGAACAGAGCCTGTGCTATTCTGTTATTCTTTTTATCATCATCTGGGCAGCCATTTTTGTTAGCTAGTTTTCATCCACAGCCATGGATGCAGGAATACAAACCCAGCTCAAACTTGGCTCAGAGCACATGTGACTTTTTGTGACTGCATGGATTATTCCTTTTATTTAGTCAGCGTATTAATTGTATTTTACTTAAATCCTACCTTTTGGCCCATTTGCTTAGAGCAGTGTATATTATTGTTTTCTACAGAGGAGTATAGAAATGACCTTGGAGAAGGAATTCAGCGGCCATTATATGAACCTCAGCTTAGCCCAGATAGATAGGAGGGGGTGAGGAAAACACTTAAGATTGCCCTGCCTTGATTCTCTTTAGTGTAAGAGGGAAGAGAAAGAATCTCTGCCAGGTTTTCAAGATTCTGTTGTTATACCTTAAAACAATAGAGTTCCAATAGTTCATGTGGTGTCTCTTTCCTGACCTGGTTTACCTCAAAGGCCTGACATTTTCATTCATCTTTTATTTGGGGGTACATTAGACTGAGTGTGTTTGGCCATGGCTACTCTATCAGTGTCAGAATTAGTATTTGGACTGGGTTGATTCATCACACCAAGATATAGTTTTTCAAATAAGACACAGCGGCTGGATTCAGATATCATGCTCAGTTATGCACCATGGTTTATAAAGCATAATATATGGGTTCATATAACAAGCTAATGCAAAACCAAGTAAATCCCAATATGAGATCCTAATTCCCCTATAACTTCCCCCAAATTTATAATTAATAACTCATTCTTTCTAAATCTGATTGTTCTGTATAATCATCATCATAACTAGTGGCCCCTGATAAACATTTCTGTGTGTTTGCCTAATTAGTTTTTAAATCCATTACCACATCCAGTGGCACTGGACTCTAAATTAGTTACAGATTTGGGGAAGGACTGTCTGTTCTGAATTTGCTGACAGTATCATAGAATGTTTTAGTTTTAGACTACAGGAAGAAGAGAAAAAATTCTATCTGTTGGGTTACATCCAACATTACTCAAGTACAGGTAGTCCTTGTTTAGCAACCACAATTGGGACCAGCAACTCGGTTGTTAAGCAAAGTGGTCACTAAGTGAAACCAGACTGTGCTTACAATCTTACTTCGGCTTTCCTTTGCTTTACAGACCTGCGAAGGTTGTAAATGCAAGGATTGGTTGCGAAATTATTTTTTCATCACCATTGTAACTGTGAACAGTCACTGTACGAGGCAGTTGCTAAATGAGGACTACCTGTAGATTTTTGCTCATACATTGGGATTTCGTGTAGATTTCCTGTTCTAGCAACAACCCTTATAGGCCTCCTAAACCTGCTCTGGAGGTTCTTTCAGCTCTCTCTGTGCAATGCAGATTTGGGAAGTGCATTGAGCGGCAGGTGAGGGAAAAATTGTTACGTCAGCAGAGGCTATTCTGTGTGTAGAACAATACCACTAAAATACCATCCTATTTTATTCACTTTATGCATTATGCAGTTTAGTGTGTTTTCCCTCATATTTTTTCTAGAGAATCTTGAAATATTCTTTAAGCCATCTTCTAAATTACTAAAATTTCCATCACCAAGATCCTCTAACTTTACATTCCTCAGACGTTCTGTCTGATTTGTGAGGAATTGTGCAGGCAGCACTCAAGACAGATATGAATCCCTGATTTTTTTAAAATGAATTGTTCCATTCATCATCTGCACAATTGCTTTACTTCAGGTACTTATCTACTTCACTACTGGACAGTGAACAGCCATGTGCTAAATTCCAAAGACATTGATGGAATGTCAGTTCTCAGTATCCAATTATTAGTCACAGGAATGTTGGTTGACCCACTGTTCTTTCTTTAGTGCCCCCAGCTGATCTTTCTGTTTACATGTAGCTCTTCAGCCATTTGAGGATAATTCAAAATCTTGGCAAAGGGCATTAGATAAAAGCCAAGCTTTTTTCTCTTTTAGATTTTTTTTAATCCCACCTTTATTATTTTTAAGAATAACTCAAGGCAGCAAACATACCTAATACTCCTTCCTCCTCCTGTTTTCTCCTCAACAACAACCCTGTGAGGTGAGTTGGGCTGAGAGGGAGGGACTGGTGCAGTCACCCAGCCAGCTGTCATGCCTAGAACTCACAGTCTCCTGCTTTCTAGCCTGGTGCCTTCTCCACTAGACCAAACTTTTGCAAGATGTGTTACAAGATTGTTAATGTCTTTATAAGGTTATGTTGCATCATTAGAACAAATTAGCTCTTGCAGTTGTTTAACTGGAATCTGTTTTGAATATCAGTCACCTTTACTCACAATGATATTAGGACAGTACCACGGCACTCCACTCTCTGGTTTTCTTTAGTTTATCATAAGGTCATTAGGTAGTCACTTATCTTACAAAGAAGCAAGGGTTCATATTTATGAGACACCACTGCAGCCAATATAATGAAGTGCTGCTAATAATAGGAGTTTTCTGCTCCCTTATTAAATGTTCACAAGTCCATTCTTTTCATAATATTTGATCAGTTCATGTTCATCAAGATTATTGCGGCAGGTGCCCTTGTTAGTAACTTGCTTAACCAGTCATGTACTAGATTACTCATTTCTATCCAGTAGAGTGTTGTATTGTTGTTTGCTTTGTTTTGAATGCTTGGAATTGATGCTTACTTGCCACAGGTAAGCAGTCCAGTGACTATTTACAGGATTCAAATGTGTGAGATTACTACAAAAGACAGAACACGTAGCTGATGGCCAGAAGAATGTTAATGTTGCTTGAATATATCTTCCAATAATATATGTACATATTTTGTTTGTCTCACTATTACTTCTGGTTAAATAAGTTTTTTACAATGATACAAAGATACAAAAATCTTTTTTTATGAGTAGAATATACCCAATGTGCAATGATCTTCTTGCAAACAGTTTTCAATTTCCTGAAGGCTTGGTTTAAGTCTCTAGCATAAAAGCCTGGTATCGGCCCTTGTGGCTCTATTCCAGAACTGAAACTTGATCAGTTCTTTCAGCATTAGCTCAATAGACTTATTTTTCCTAACTCCCTTCGTTCTAAGTCCTGTTCAGCAGATTCTTATGTTTTTATAGCAAACAATCTTCCACATGGGACATAACCCAACTAACCTGCATGCATGCTTTGTCTAAAGTATTAAGATGGATGTTTAAAATTTAGAGATTTAAAGAGTTTGTAACATTTCCTGGGGAGCAGATAAAACTATTTTCATTCTTTTCTTCAAAATTTAGCCTGTTCAAGACATTGTATGCAATAAACCTTGTTTAAACATCATAAGAGCCAACAATCTCCATTTGCTTTCTAGCCCAATCAGAATCAAATTAAACACAAATTAGAGTTCTCTTTTCATTGTGATTATTGCTCTTTAGCTCAAAATGATTTGGTTCTTAACTGTTCCCCCCCCCCCACCTTCTTCCTGTTTTAGCGTCTTTAAAGTCAACGGGAAAGAAGAGCAAAAAGCCGAAGAGTTCACTGGGTTCTGTGCATGGAACAGAGAGTATGTATCTTTGCTTTTTCTTCATTTTTTTCTGAAGTTATTATGTAGGTGCTTCAAAGTAGTTTGCTGTAACTGTGACTTAAATGGTCTCCTCCAGATGTATTGGAACTGAAACTTTAAAAAATTCCTGACTGGGATTTGGGGAGTTCCCTAACTGGTTGAGGTGACCAATTAGGAAAGTCTGGCTATATAATAAGACCAAAAAAGTCGCCTGGCGCTGCTGCATGGGTCCCAACGCCTTAGAATTCTCCCATGTGGTTTTTCCTTTGTTTGTACAACAGATAAACAACAAATGTCAAAGTAATCATTTTCACTATGTAAATAGGTTGTTTGGATGAATCTCACAAGGGCAGAAATCTTTACACCTACTTAAATTGCCTCAGTATCAACTTTTCTATATTGAACCTGCAAAAGTGATAAAAATACAGGAGATACTGTCTTCAAATATGGCTCAGATCCTGTGATGTACAAATTCCATCCCTTTATTCTGGCAGAAAGCCTTGTCCCCCATTGCTTCTCCCCACTGTCAGATATCCACAGATAAGCCATAGATGTAACCCATCCAAAGGGTCCTTTCCCCTCCCCCCCCCAAAAAAGACTCCTTCCAATTAGATAATTTTCACAGGTTCCCCTTACAGCCTCATCACCACCTCTAATCCTACAATGGACAACCTTTTGGCAACTTCAGCTTCTCTTCTTTTTTGAGGGGGGTGACAGTGATATCATGACATTGCAGCAGTGGGCAAGGAGAAATTATGGGATAGATTGTTTTATAGAGACAGAGAGGATTACTAGGGTTTATTTTTCTTTTGTTGGTGTATAATTCCAATCTGAAGCTCATACAGTATGTACTTTATTCAAAGTAAAAAATGTACAGGAAATCATGCTCCTGTAATTTGGCAGTTTATGGCTGAATTTTAGCAGTTTGAACCCTGGGTGCTCCAAGGGCCACGACAAGGGGATGTTGGGGACTATATGAAGCCTAAATGATGTACACATTTGTAATATATTACCTGACACAATTTTTTAGATGTGCAAGGACTCGTAAGCAAAAGGGAGAAATCAAGGAAATTGCTTCTTATCTTCTACCATAGAATTATTGTACATGTAGCACAAGTTCTTGGATATCCTTGCTCTTCTGAACAATTTCAGTGCCTGCCAGTTTCTCATGACTTTCCAGTGATCCAGCCCAGTGAGCATTATGCTGCCAAAGCAGCACATACACATTGACTAGCTGTGAGAGTTATGATGAGAACAAGACTTGGCATACATATGTTGTTGAGGACAATCCAATGTGATCACATAGCCATTGCACATACTTTGCAGCTATAATATAACAAGGGGTATATAGCTTAACTTTTGTGATGGCTCTTTTCCCTTTTCAGTTTGCAATTATGTCACAGGCTGATATTTTTCTCCCCTTATCAAAATGTGAATGCTTGCTTGGGGCATTGGAGTTGGCTCAGGAAAAGCAAACTTGTGATTTGCTGAATAAGTATCTAATTTTGATTCCTAATTTAATATTGAGAAAACGCTGCATGGGGAGGAATTTAGTACTAGCATGAAACTGTTAATCAGGGGTTTCATAGGTATTGTGATCCCTATTGTGAGGCATTGATCCTCCAAGAAATCAACTTTCCCTAAAAAAAAAAAAAAAAAAGACTGTGCAAGCAAGGGTTCAGAGTGCCTCACAGCTAATACACAGTGGCAATAAGTTACTGCCCCCTAACTGCATTATACCTGTACTCATCATGAGGTGTCCTATATTGTCTTTACAGCAGGTTTTGTGTTGGAAGGAGAAAGAAAACACTTTTTTCACACCAGAACAACTAAAGATAACTCTAGAATCTTCTGTAGAAGGCTAGGGATGAGACAGAATTGACATTATGAGGACTTGTCCTTTAAAAATGCCTATTGATGCATCTTTGGGCCATGGTAAGCAGGATGTGCTCATAATCATGAGTGTAATACATAAAAAAAATGACTAACCTGCTAGTTACTGACTTTTATGTTACTAGTCTAAATAAATGCTCTGTCCTGCCTTCTGTAGCCCAACCTGTTCTGTAAGGGTATTGTTTTACAAGACCTCCCAAGAACTTTTAATAATTTTGAAAATAAAACAGAGAAGGATCTTTGCACAAATGCCGTTATAGGTGCAGTAAAGGTATGCTAGTTATGCTGGCCAGTTCTGACATATCTGTTGACCACAGTTCTTAGGAGCCATATGTTATTGAGAAAGGAGCCATTCAGAAAGATACTTCTTATGGTTGCTCAAGTGTAGATACCCAAATGTGTAGGGCACAGTTGCTAACCTGATACTTTTCAGGTGTTTTAGAATGCATCCTCTGCTAACTGGAGCTAATGGTGGACATAGGTTGCCTGTCCCTGGTGCAGGGCACTGTATTCATTAGCCTTTCCCCACCTGAGCCACTCCAAATATTTTGAACTGCAATTCCACACCCGCCAACATGGTAAATATACATTTGTAAACAAATAGGGTTCTTTCTTGTTAATGTTAAAGGCATATTCCTCAAGGATCCATTTGTATCACTCAGTTTTAAGTTCTTCTGAAGAAATTGTTTTCATCCATGCAAATAACTTACACAGAGAATATGAGATACAGTTGTTAATCTAGTACCTTGATCAACTTCTTACCATCAGTTTTGACTGAAGTTCACTTAAATAATTGATTTGTTTGATTAGGGAAGGGACAATAGCTACTTTTATAGAAGACTGGAAACCCTGTATGGACTTTTTGCTGAAAATGGATAAAAATCACACCCGACCACACAGAGAGGGCATGCTTCGGACCCCCTCAGTAAAAGAACTCCAATTAGTGGGGTCCAGAAGGCGGGCCTTCTCTGCAATAGCCCCCACTCTTTGGAACATTCTGCCCCCG